TAGTTTTATTTTTAGTGATTTTTTTTATTTGTTTATTTTTTTTTTGTATTTTTTTTTTTAGTATTGGTCGACAGGCTCTTTAAAATGGTGGAAGAGGATTGATGGAGTATCTCTGCATCTCTAACCAAGGCTGCTTGCAAAGTGTCCATATCAGATTCTGACGATGAAATCTATTACCATCTACCTGGGGAATATTCCTGAAAGCAGGATAAACTTACATCACATAAACCCTGAACTCTCGGTTAATTAACCCAAACCTTGCTTAATTCGGGTATATGGTGCATATACATAGTGCATATATTACTGATCTTATTGTGAATTATTCATCCATGCACATTTGATTTTTTACATTTTTTATTTATTTCTTTTTTGACCATGTAATTTTCAAAATGTCATAACTGGATTTATTTGTCAAACAACATACTTCTCTCTGTTGACGTATGTCGAACTTCTCCAATAGTCCGCGCATTCAGATCTGCCTCCGTCCAATCAACAACCAGTTGATAGAATCATGTCCCCCGTATGGCTGTGTAAGTTTAGTGTTTTTTTCTTCTTATGTTTAGACATTTTGCTTTCACATTTGAGATATCACATATGTATAAATATTTTTTTATATTGTATAGCAAACATCACGTTGCAAAAAAGACAACCTTCTGATTGCAAATGAGATGAGAAAATGTTGCTTTTTATATTTGTGAGGTAAAATAAACATTGATTTGCTAAAATGCTTTATAATTATAGAACTTTATAATACAATATTGGCATAATCTGTGCCATCAAAAATAAAATCTCACAGCTGCATAGCAAATTTGTCTGTCTGTCTTTTCTCTAAATGTAGCGAATCAGCTCATGGGGAAATATGAATAATTAATTATTTTATCCTCAAAAAAAAAAAAAAGAACTACAGATTGCTCATTAATAATGTTTGTACAGACAAATAAAATATTACATTTTATATTGCATAAAAGTAGTGGCATTTCTTTCCTACCCTGATTCCATTCAGAATTAATGGAGAACAACAGTCCGTCTCTGAAGCTCTTATGGGACTAATGGAGGACATACAAACATTCAGAGATGGGGATTTTTCCCCATTAATCTCATTACATCGAAAAATGCCTTGTTTAATGCTTTCCTGTCAAGTATTATGATAAGTATCATTCATATTTGTTACTCAGACACAAAGTTTAAGCTTAGTGTATTTCGAATTACTTTTTAGGAATAAAATGGGTAAATTAATCAATAACTGTTGTTGGGTAAGGGCATTCAAAACCATTTATTAGTCATGTATTTTATTGGACTACAAATCCCACTTAGCCCCGTATTCAGGAAGTAGGTCCCGTTGCTAAGCAAACTCACCCGCTGTGGGGCAGAAGTGAAACGCTGGATCCTGACATTGAATATCACGGTATTTACGCTCAGAAGGTAAGACATTTAATTATACCGGTACAAAACATATAATAAAGTTTTACCAATTAGAAATTAAATAAACTTTTTCCCTAAAGCTGATGTAAGGAATGCTGTGAAACATAATACACACATATTTATTTGAGGGCAGGCCGAACAATTTTTTGCAAATGTCTCGTGAGTCGTCGCTAAAGCAGGATCGACCGGCTCCAACATCACCGTCCTGAACCACGAGGCCAGCGATCTGACCAACGGTAAACTCCTGCACTCACCCTGATAGAGCCGCACTTTCTGTTCCTACAGCAGGACTCGCTAAACTAATCTGAGCTGCGTGTTTAACAGAAACACTGTGGCTTAGTGTGATTTTAAAAATGAAGCCGTTAAGAAAGCCATAAATATTAGTATTATGATTTGACAGTTGTACTGAACAAATGAAATTATTATTTGTATGTTTTATTAAATACAAATATTTACAATAAAATGTTACAGTAGTAACATTTCTTTTGTTTAATGTTTTAATAATAATAATTGTTTAATGTTTTATTCAATAATAATTAATACAATTAATCATATTAAAATAATAATAATTATTATTATTATTAAATTAATAGTAATACAATAGTAACACTTATTATTTTGTTCAGTGTTTTTTAGTAGTAATAATACTACTAATAATATTACTATTAATAAAAAATAAAAATATTAATAATTATTGTTATTGTCTTTATTAATAAAATTATTATTATTATTATTATTATTATTATTAGTCA